GTGTTGGTGGGGAGGGTGTATTTGCACAGAGGGATGGGGATGAGGATGGAGAGGTGTTGGTGGGGAGGGTGTATTTGCACACAGGGTTGGAGATGAGGATGGAGGGATGTTGGTGGGAAGGGTGTATTTGCACACAGGAACGGGGATGAGGATGGAGGGGTGTTGGTGGGAAGGGTGTATTTGCACACAGGGATAGGGATGGAGGATGTTGATGAGCAGTGTGCATCTGCACACAGGGCTGGGGAGGTGTGGGTGCAGAGGGTGTATCTGTACCCACGGATGGAGTGTGTGGGTGTTGCAGGGTGTATCTGCACCTGGAAATGAGGATAGAGGGGTGTTGGTGGAGGGGTGTATCTGCTCCCAGGGATGGCTATGGGCTTGGAGGGGTGTTGGTGAGGAGGGTGTATTTGCACACAGGGATGGAGTGGGGGGGGTGTTGGTGAGGGGTTGTATCTGCCCGCAGGAATGGAGGGGTGTTGGTGAGCAGGGTGTATCTGCACACAGGGATGAGGGTTGTGAGTGTGGGTGTATTGCTGAGATGGTGTATCTGCATCCAGGGATTGGAAGGGTGTTGGCAGAGGGGTGTTGGTGAAGAGAGTGTATTCGCACACAGGGAGGCTGTGTGTGGGTTTGGGTGTCAATAAGGAGAGGGTACCTGCACCTAGGAATGGTGTGTGTTGGTATGTGGGGGTGTATTTGCAGGCAGGGATGGAGAGGGTGCATGCCTGTGTTGGTGAGGAGGTGTATCTGCCCCCAGGGATGAGGGTGTTTGCCTCTGTGTTGGCTGGAGGGTGTATTTTTCCGCTCTGGTTTTGTTTGTGTTGGTGTCGTGTGTGCAGTTGCAGGTGTGCAAGGGGCAGTGCTTGGGGGGTGTTGCACCCACAGGCGGTGCAAGGGGGTGTGTGTGTGTGTGTGTTGGCAGGGGTATGGCTTTTCCTCTGGGTGTGCACAGGTGAGTGTTGTTGGGTGTACAAGCTTGTTGGTGTCTGTGTGTGTGTGTAAACAGGTGCTGAGGGTGTCTTTGCACCCAGTGATGGTGTACCCTGATGGCGTGTGGGTGCACGTGGGCCAGGGGAGTGGCGGCAGTGGGTGTGTGAGTGTGTGCACGGGTGTGTGTGCATGCACTGGGTGTGAGCAGTGTGTGTGTGCATGCGGGTGTTGCATGGGCTCAGGTGTGCGCAGGTGTGCACCAGGCTCAGGTGTGGGTGGGTGGTGGTGGGGATGGGGTGTGGTTGTTGCTGGGGGCATGCCATGGCCATCCAGGGGTGATGTCCTGCCTGGGGTGTCCGCGTGTCCATGGAGGGTTCCTGGGGGTCCCACTGTGGGTCCTGCTGCCGTAATGGGGAAACTGAGGCAAGTGGCATTATGTGGCTGGTGC